CACCATCAGTTATCATATAATTTGCTTATAAGCATTTAAACTTATTTTTTTAATATTTAAAATTCTTTTTTTTTATAAGGTTTACAGAATGACTACTTAATGCTCTTTAAAAAATGCGCAGACATTTCAATGCCTTTTCTTTATAGATAAGAGTAGTTGACTTCACCGATTAAATAGGTATATGCTCAAACATGAAATAACACCATCAGTTATCATATAATTTGCTTATAAGCATTTAAACTTATTTTTTTAATATTTAAAATTCTTTTTTTTTTTTTTTTATTCTGTCTATGCTTCCCACGTGCTGGGACTAAAGGCATGTGCCACCACACCTGGCTTATTTATCATTTTTATTTTATGGGTATGCATGTATTGTCTGTATGAGGGTAAGTACACCCATGTTGTGTAATGCCCGCAGAAGACAGAAGAGGCTGTTGGATCCCCTGGAACTGGAGTTACGGACAGTTGTTAGCTGCCATGTGGGTGCTGGGATTCGAACCGGGTCTTCTGAAAGAACAGTCAGTGTTCTTAACAGCTGAGCCACCTCTCCAGTCCCCTAGTTAAACTTATTTTTATATATTGCTATAATAAAGAATTATTCTGCATTTAAAAGGTAGCATTTCATTCACCAGTGATGAACTTGCTAAAAATTCACAATAGCAGTAAATACGTAAGAATAAATTTAACCACGGAAGTGAAAATCCCTGCAATGAAAATTAGAAAATGCTAGTGAAGAAGATATAGAAGAACACATTCTACTTCTTGTTTTTTTTTTGAGGGGGGGTGTGGTTTTTTATTATTTAAATCCTCTGGAAGAGCAGCCAGTTCTCTTAACCACTGAGCCATCTCTCCAGCCCCTCGTTCTATTTTTTGTAGAATGAAAGAAAAACTTTAAGCTGCCCCAAATAAAAAAAGTAATAGTTACCAAAAGCATGCTCTGTCTTAGTGTGAGTTAAGTTACTGTATTTATTGTAAAGGTGAAATTTTAGTATTCAATGCAGTTTTCAATAAAAAGTAATTTAAAAGAAAGAAGGCTGGTAAGGTGGCTCAACAGGTAAAAGCTCTTGCTACCAAACCTGGTGGCTTGCATTGGATTTTCAGAGCCTGAGTGGTAGAAAGAGAGAACTGACTCCTGCAAGTTGTCCTATGACCTCCGCACATAGGAAGGAAAGAAGGAAAGAAAGGAGGAAGGGAGGGAGGGAG